AACAACAACAACAACAATAAAAAGAAAGGTCTGCCTTGAGCATCCTGCTCTTTTAAGAACTATCTATATGGGATCAAATTGACAACAGCAACTTGAAAGATTAGACGGGAGCCTTAGCAGCCAGTGAGGTGACGTTAATGGGGGAGGGACGACTCAGAAAAGGCGACTGAGAACGGCTGCCCAACCAGAAGGACATCATCAGCATCGTGAAATCATACACGCAGAAACGGCTAAACTAAGGTAGGTTTTGCTGTGTGTATTATCAACAAAATAAATAAAATTTAAAGGAAAAAAATTTAAATTTAAAGAAAAGAAAAAGCAGGGCAAACTAACAGCCTATAGGACAAATCCAGCCCAGAGCCTGTGAAGTAGAGAAAGAGGACCTTGTAAAGCCTAAAACATTTACCATCTAGACTTCCACGGGTCAAGTGTTCTTGACCCCACATTAATAGATAGCTGCGTGCTCTCCACTGCCTCATGCTACCTGCAACCAAAACATCCTGAAGGACAGGAAAGCAACAAGACACGCCTCGTTCCCTGGATGATCATATGGAACAGGGCCCATAAAACCCCTTCACCCTCAAACTGTCCGCCAGCTTGGACTTTCATGGAGGAGAGAGTAAGGTGCTGTGTTGTTTAAGCCACTGTTTTTGCCCCCCTTTTACTGTGGTGAAAACATACACAAAAGAGCCAATATAGCAACTTCCCATTTACAGCTCAGGGACACCAATGAGATTTTTCATGTTGTGCCACCATTATTGCTATCCTTTCCCAAAATATTCCACCACCGTTAGCATAAACGCAATGCCCCGCCAACAAAAGCTTCCCCTTCCCCCTCCCTCCTACCCCTGCTAACCACTAATACTCTTTGATTACATATAAATCTATCTAGGAATTTTCCCTCCCCTCCCCTCCCATCCCTGGTGGTAATCAACAAAGTTTACCAACATGTATAAACCTTTCCTTGACTCTCACAATAGTGGACTAATACAATATTTGTCCTTCTGTGATTAATGTATTTTATTCAGCAAAATGTCCTCCAAGTTCATCCACATTATGCAGTGTTTTGCAGAGTCTACATTATTCTTTAGGGCTGCACAGTATGCCATTGTGTATATGTACCACAGTTTGTTCATCCATTCCTTGGTTGATGAGCACTTAGGTTGTTTCCATCTCTTTGCTATTGTGAATCGTGCTATGAAGAACGCAGGTATGCGTGTATCTATTCACATTCTGGTTCTCACTTCTTTAAGATATATACCTAGTAATGGCATTGCTGAGTCAAATGGTATTTCTATTTCCAACTTTTTAAGGAATCACCATACCAATTTCCACAGTGGTTGCATCATTTTATCATTTTACAGTCCCACCAGCAGTGCATGAGAGTCCCTATCTCTCCACATCCTGGCGAGCATATGTTATTTTCTGTCTTGTTGAACTTTGCTATTTATGCTGGGGTGAGATGGTACCTCGTGGTTGTTTTGATTTACATCTCTCTGATGGAAGCCACTATTCTTCAACCTCTATTAAAGCAGCCAAACCAATCTATTAACTGATAAAGCAGTTAACTTATAGTCCGGCAAAGAAGTTATCAAAAAAGACATTTAAGGAGAAAATATTTTGTTTAGCCACTTAGTACTTTGCTTTTTCAAAAAACCGTTTTAAAAAATCTGGACGTTTTAATAACAAATTGGCTCAACAAATAATGTACATCGTCCCTAAGAACTGTGATCCTTTAAAAAAAAATCACCAGTGAGGCCAAATATTAGATCAAATGATCAACAAATACTTTAAAACAAAGGTGAGAAAGTAAGGGGGCAGGGAAACTAGATTAATGGAAACAGAAGCACCAGAAAAGAAATGAGAATGTTCATACATTATGAAGAACGTAACCAATGCCATTCAACAACTTTTGTAGAAATTGTTGAATGGGAACCTAACTGCTACGTTATTTTAAAATTTAAAAAATCTGGAGAGTTCACATTCAAATAAAAAGCAGTTTTTGAAATAACTTGCTTATATTTGAAGATACAAATTTTCAAGCAAAGTCCCTGTGAAATTCTACCACTGAATGGTAGTCATCCATTTCAGCACTGAAATCTTGTCTTAAATAATCTTTAAAAAGATACAACATATTAATATTAAATAGTAAACAGAACTGACCGAGAGCATAACTTACTTTAAAACTTACTCTAATGTTTAAAAATCTTAACTTGTTTTTAGAAATGAAGAATATTCAGTGGCTAAAAACTACAAAGTGAACTTGATTTTTTACTATCTTGAAAATCACAGTCAGTATTTGTCTATGAAGTGACTTAAAAAGAGGAATTTTCTAATGAAAAATTGAGACAAATAAGACAGGCGTTATATCTCAAGGAAAAGCATAAGAAATGCTGGAGTGTTTATTTAGGAAGGAGGAGACAAAGTTGACTGGCGAAGCAGGTGAGCTTATTTCACAGACCTGGGGCAGCCCAGGCGTCTGCTAGGCCGAGGGCTATTTTGTTTTGCATTGATGGGTTGGCAGGCAACATGTCTGAGGCCTAGAACATAAATCAAATTGATTTGCCCTGCAGCCAAGTTCGGTGACACAGAGCGGTCACCAACCTTCTGCAGTGTTTGTACTCAATCCTGGGCACCTGATGCACAGCCGAGTGAGAGGAGGCCCCAGCACAAGGCTCTGTACTCAAGTGCTGTTAAGTGTCTTTCCATGTAAGGTCACTGCAATGGCAGCTTTAAACCCCAGGTCACACAAAGCTGAGAGCAGGAAGAGAGTGTGCAACAGGAAGTCATGTCCGGGTGACGGAGCAACAAGACTCCTCGGCCGGTGCACGGTGGGTTCATGTGACAGCCTACTTACTGGGGCTTCTTCCTCCTCTGATCACAAACGTCACTGACCAACTCGACTGCTGTCCACCTAACCGTTCCCACCGCCCACTCTGTCCAAAGCAGCGTCAGATCCCTATGCTCTGGCAACGGCCTCCTCCCTGTCTGTCCCCCTGCAGCTGCTCAACCCGGTACCAACCCGTTCTTCACCCTCAAGCCAGGGCCGTCTGTTTAAAATGAGGATCGTTTTCTCAGTCCCCTATGTAACATGCTACTAAATGACAGTACTTCTTCATCGTGAACAATTACGTCCCTGTGTCAGCTCCGAGAGTACAATGCACAACACTCTGCATTACAGAATCCCACTCTTTAAAATAAGTCATCTAAGGCAGCCCACACATTTTACAACGACCAGAGGGCCCAGGCGCCAATAGCAGTTCACGGTGCTCAGGACTGCACTGGAACACACTGGCACCAAACAGATCTCGGCTGCACAAAGGGACGCACGCATGTGTGCAAGCGCTCCTGGGGACAGGATCACCAGGGACTTCACTTTCTACAGTCTGCAACACAGACTGTCAGGAACAGGTTTGGCTTCTGCTTTAACCAAAAACAAAAGGGGGTGGGGGAACAGCAATAAAGATTCTTTTAAAGTAGGTCCTAAATCAGTGTTATCGTCAGAGAGACCATACGTGGTCCTGGGAAGATCTGCAGTGCTGTGAAAGCTGGGAGGGGAAGTCCCTGAATTCTCCAAGACAAGAGTAGAAATCAAAGCTTGAAAGGGAAATAGCGGTGCTTCTCCCCCAGCTTATCTACCCGATGTGCTACCGGACCTTCCTGAACTCCTCCCACCTCATGCGCCCTCTCTGCACGTGTCAGGAGGACAACCTCATGCTTAAACTACTCCTGGTTCCAAGCACACCCAGCTGAAAGACAAACACAAAATCTCCTACCAAACAAAAGACCAAACTCACTGTCACGAGTCGATTCCAGCTCCTAGTGACCCCTGTTGGGTTTCTGAAGCAGTAAATCTCTACGGAAGTAGAGTGCCCCATCTTCCTTCCATGGAGCGGCTGGTGGATTTGAACTGCCAATCTTCTGATTAGCAGTCCAATACCTTAGGCACTGCACCATCAGAGCTCCTTAAAATCATCTATGGTAAGCAGTAAATACGCATAGCCCTTTCAAAGTCCTGATGACACAAGGTCAGGCCTAAAGCTTGGAAGTTCAAACCTGGCAGCTTGTGAGTTATTAACTTGCATCTCTATACACCATCGTGAAGAGGTATTTGTCTAACAACAATCATGTGAAAATTGTGGTACGGGCTGAGGAGCTACTGCAGTAATGAACAGGTACCTTACTTTGGCTAATAACTAAGCCTTGATAACATGGCTGACATTCTGATAGGGTGGAAATCTTGTAATTAGGTGGCAAGTCCCATATTTCTAGAAGCCAAGCTGCCTGGAAGGTAGGATGAAGGGTTGAAGCACTAACGCTGACATGCTACCCGACCTGCAGCACGGCTCCCCAGAAGAGAGTACTCCTCACGCGCCCCCATTCAGCACACTCCTAATCAACTCAGCTCTGTGTCTGGTATGAATACCTTCCAATGGGCAGGCTGCAATTCCACATTCTTCATGATGCTCCGCTTATTAAAACTGAAATTTCACCATTTCTAACTCAAACTAAATTGACGGTTCGAACCGTGATTAGAGTGAGGCCTTCTATTAAAGAGATGGAATCGGGGTAAACGTGGCCTGGATCAAAGCTGAAGCAGGCGGAGAACCTGAAGGCTTTGAGCTCTGGGCTGGCTGTGGGAGCCTGGGAATACCACAGCCCTTTCTGCCTAGCAGATCTCCAAGCTGTCCAGCCAGGATAACAGGGGGCCCCTCCCTGAGCTCTTGCAACCTGAAACATGGAGCTGTGAAGTCGTGGGTAATTACAGTCCCCAGAGAGGCCCCTCTGGATTGGGATCCTGGTTCCCACTCCCAGATAAAGACAGTCACTGACCAGCCTACGCCTTCCTGCTCAGGACGAGGCTGGCGAAGGATGACCGGGGCTCACGTGCTCTCCTTAAGAAACAGCTACCGTGAGGGAATTGCTTAACGTGGCCCTTCTAGCCACCGTCCTCCGTTTTGTGATGGACTGTAAATCCTAGTCTCTAGGTCTGTTACAGGAGCGCTGGTGGCATGACACCTAAGGCATCTGACTGCTAACCACAAGGCTGGCAGTTCAAACCCACCAGCCACTCCTCGGAAGGAAGGCTGGGCAATCTACTTCCATAGAAACACCACCTCAGAAACCCAAGGAGGGGTCGCTATGAGGCGGATCCGACTCGACGACAGTGAGCTGGCTTGAACTTAGGTGGGATGTATCTTGAGTCCCGCCTTGCTGGAGGGTGTAACTCAAGTCACCACCTCAGTTTCCTTGAGGGCACACGTGTGAGTGTTGTGGGAAAGTTCTCTTTCTCCAGTCCTAGCGTTTGGTTCGTCTCCATCTCACCCCGGACTTGAGATAGCAGCCGGGCATCGGACCCGTCAATTTGGGTTCGCCAGCCCCTGTGGCCACACGAGTGAGAAGACCCCTCCAGACCGACCCACGGGCTTGGGACTTGCCTGCCTCCCCGCCTCCCCCACCACCACGTGAGCCGTTTCTTTGGCAGTTTGAGTTCTGTGAGATGTTACAGTGAAATACGGACCCCTAAGATAGGGGAAGGGTACTGGGGGGGGGGGGGTGATGTTAGGGATGACGGAGCGGTACCACAGTGTGGAAATGCTGAACATCTGGGGCATCTCTAACCTCACCTCCCAGGGACCAGCCTTGTGCTGATCCTTCTACAGGAACTTATTCGCGCGCAGCCGAGCGGCCCCGGGCCACACCTGCTCCTCCTCGATCCTGCGCTGCAGTGTCTCGATGTAGTGCTGGACGGCCATGTAGATGAACCGGTACTGTGCTTCTGTCTGGACCATCCCCGACCTCTGAGACCGCACCATCTGGATGGTTTTGGGGACATCGATGTCGCAGTCAACGCCTGCAAAGCAAACCACATGAAGCGTTGGGGGAGAACCACGGAGCCAGGGGGACGCCGTTCAAGGCGCAACTTCTGCCCCACCTGGATCTGACACGGACTGTCTTTAACCTTTTAACAGGACATGTTCCAAGGGCTATGACACTGGACTTCTGATCAGCAATCCCAGAAGGTGACGCTATAAAGGTCAGAGGTCAGGATTCTTGCCGCCCCCACACACACCCCCAGCAGGAAGAGGAAGCGGCGCAGAGGCCACCGCTGCGTGTTCCACAAAAGGCCGGAGCAGGAGAGGCCTCAGCACCTCAGCTTCATCTGAGGCCAAGGGCTCAAATGATGTCACTCACTGCTCTCTGCCAAATGTACTGACAGCTGAAGTGTTCAGCCCAGATTTTTGTGAAAATAACTTAACATTCCAATTCCCTTCCCAGACAATTTTCACCAGCACTCTCCGTTCATCAACTAAAAACAGGAATGGGAGCTTCCTGCCCTCCAGAGCACCTACCTTTCTCTCGGATGATGTCAATGAGGATGTCAATCACGATGAACGTCCCTGTCCTGCCGATGCCAGCACTGTGGGCACAGGACAAAAAGCAGTGACAAGCGAGCCACTGATGGAGGTTTTACACTCAACAGCAAGCTACTGGTGTTAACAGAAATAATGTCTGCTCCTGGGACTGTTTCTAAGACTGTATTTATATTTGAAAACATACCAGGCAAAGAACTTAGGGTTTTGGACTCAGCCAAACCTGCAACTGGAGCCCAGGTTCACCAGAACGATGTGCCTGAGGCAAATTCCTTAACCTGTCTGGCCCTCGGTTTCCTTATCTGTAAAATGGGGCAAAAGTACACACCTGACAGGACTGCTGTGGGGATCAAATACGAATAATGGAAAACTCTGAGCTCAGAGATGGCCACAGAGTAAGTGCTCAATGGCCCTGTTGGTGTCGAGTCAATTCCAATTCACAGCGCCCCTAGAGGACAGAGCAGAACTGCTCCATGAGGTTTCCAAGGCTGTCTTTATAGAAGCAGACCATCACGTTTCTCCCACAGAGCAGCAGGTAGGTTCAAACCACCAACCTTTCAGTTAGCAGCCAAGCACTTACCCTCTGCACCACCAGGCTCCTTAAATGCTCAATAGCTTGTCTATCTGGTTTTGTTGCCGAGGAGCCCACTCCAGTTCCCAGTGACCCCAAGTGTGACGTTTTTTAGAATTAGATCCCCAAGCCTCATCCCAGGCACCTCTGGGTGGACCCCCACCTGCAATTAGCAGCTGAGCCTGACAATCCTCTGTACCACCCAAGGCCTCCTCAACAGATGGTAACTTAAAAAAATTAAAAAAAAAAACCTGAGCAAATCAAGTTTCACACACATCTATCTGCCCAACACATGAATGAGACGGAAGAAAGCAATTCCTCCAGTGTAACCAGGAAGCCCAGGCGTGGTCCCCAGCAGCCCACAGACCCCGTGCAGAGGCCACGGTCACAGCCCCCATTGTGGCCCGGTCATGCGTAATGGCAGGGGGGAAATCTGATTATGAATAGGGTCACAATCAAAGGGATAGACTCTAAGTTACTATATTAAAGAGTGAAATCAAGCACAAATTGCTGGATTAAGGGATCCTTGACAATAACTGTATCTGGAGACCAAGGACTGTGTCTGCCCTGGGGCTGGCAGCCTGTGGGATCCATGAGAATTATACTCTGGGGTCACGATGTCCCTTACTGTAGTTTAGCCTCAAATACAACTGAAGCTTTTTCTACAATCAAAGAACTGGAGGAAGGGTGACCAAAATGAGTCCTGGCGTTAGGGAATGGGGCCGTCACCTGCAGTGAACCACCACGGGGCCCGCATCCACGATGCTCTCCTGCTTGTGGTGGACCTCCTCCAAGAAGTCGAGCACGCCCCCAGGGTCACTGGGCACGCCGTGGTCTGGCCAGGTCCGAAAGTGGTACTGCCAGACCGTTCTCTCTGTATTCCCCTGGAGTAAAGCCAAGAAAAACCAAAAACGAATTAAATAAATCAAGGAGCTAAGGAATCGCCCAGTTCCGACTCTCCCTAGGTCCTACATGGACTGATGGAGTTAGCAGGTGTAGAACCTCGTCACGCTTCCATGCAAAGCCCTCCTCACGAGTTTCCCAGGCCCTCTCCCATTGGGGCTGGCGAGCTCTGCTGGGGCTACTCTCTGCCCATCAGAAAACCCCAGACACTCGTTACCTCCAACATACTCTTCAGGAAGCAATGGCCCGATTCATCCGAGTCATCCACAGTGGATAATGCTCCCATTCCTCCTCCTCCAGTGCGTGGAGCTCACCCAGGAGGGCACTGAGACCTCTGGGGGCAGGGGGCTCCCTCCCACCAGGGATCCTCTCAAGACAGTGCTTCCTTCCTCTTTGTCTTTTACATCCTATTACCCTTCCTCCAACCCTGCCCCACACACATGGACTTTGATTGTATTACCACTGTCCTTTGAACTTGTGTTTAGTATCAAGAAGGTAAGTAGACAGACTCTGCAATCAGATGGCTAGATTTTGGCTCAAATCCCCAGCACCCACACTCTCTACGGCCCTTGGGCATCTCTAAGCCCAATGTCTTGGGAATAATGCTACTGTCTTGTGGTACCAACGTGAAGATTTAGTGAGGTCACTTAAGAACACAGTCAGTGCTCGGCAGACACAGCGTACCCCGCACTGCAGCTATTACGAGGACAGTGATCATCACTGAAGGACACAATGACCCCAGGACTGCAGAGACCAGAGACAATCATGCTTGTGGGTCTGCTCGTAGGTGACTGTAGTGCACGTCCACTGCTACATCTTCCGACAGAGCTGGAGACAACGCAAGCTCAGTGACATTTTAAAGAAGGGTTTGCAAAAAAAAAAAAAAAGAAAGAAAGCATCACATGACCAACGTCCACATCTGTGACCTCGAGGGTACAAGGTGTACATCCAAGGAACCTGAGCCACAATCCAGGTCTTTTCTTGCAATACGTGCCTTCAGGTTTGCTGATGGCAGGAAACAAGTTTCCTGGATGTTATCGAGTGACCTAAAGACCAGGTGGCTACACGGGTACCAGAGAGGAGAGATCGCGGGTCAAGAAGGAGAGATCCGACTCCACCCACAGTGCCTCTGTGTTCCTCTGCCTTGCTCCGTGGTCACTGAGGTCTCTGCCTAACTCCTCCCCAGGCGGCCATGAGAGATCAGGTCCTGGGACGGCAGTCCAGAACACATGAAATATGGTGCACAGGAAGCAGGCGGTATGCCCAGTGATTCTGGACAAATCAGTTCCGCGCCCGCCCCTGCGTGCAGGGTGCAAACCACAAACTTGACACCCACCTCTCCTCAGCCTGCTATGGCAAGATCTGACAGTAAGAGCTCACCACACTCAAGTCAAGCCTACCTGCTACCCAGAAACATCTGATGACAACAGGATGGGCAGTTTATCACTGTAACTGAAGGAAAACCTATCTGGAACCTTTGTCCAACGACCTCTAAATCTGCTGTCCATTTCTGCCTGACAACTACATTTTTCCAGTTCTTCTCAGTCTCTTAGACTGAGCCTCCACCCTCTCCCTCCCCATCATTACCAGAGCTGCATGCTCTCTTCTGAAAGCAGAGCTGCCAGCATCCCACCTAGACCACGACTGCACAGACTCCCAGCTCACCTTGATCTCCCCACCCCGTGGGGCTCACCAGACCATGGCTTCCTCCTCCCTCCGCTTCCCACCAGCATCTTCTTGCCCGTGAGTTCCTCCTTAGCAGCTTCGATTCCACACACTGTGGTGACAATCACCCTCCATCACTTACCTCCACTCCCCACGCCCTCTCTCCATCCACGATACCCACCTGCCAAAACCCCAACCTGGAAGAACCCAGCCACTCACTCTGCTCTGTACCAAGAACGGAATGTCCTCAGAGGGAAATCACGCAACCAGGTAGACTGATGTCACTAAGTAGTCACGTTCAACCCCGCAACTGGGCCCTGGGCACAGCCTTGACAATTACTGGATGTCTTGCCCTCGCTACACAATTGCTCTTTGTACTTTTTCAGTTTCCTCAAATATCTCATCTCTTCTTCCCTTCAAATAGCAACTGACAGCCTTGCTTCACACCTCTGCCTGCCAGGATCGGCTCACCTACCTGCACTAAGGCCACCGTGTCATCCTTCCTTCCTGTTACCCCAGAAGAAATGGCCCTCAACCTATCAACACCAATTCCTCACCAATGCTCTGGACCCCATCCTCTCCTCATGCAGCCACCACTGCCTGCCTACCTGACACCTTCACTTTGGTGCCTCAAAAGCATCTCACGTTTCATGGGTCCAAGAGGGTTCTGATGCTCTCCCTCCTTCCTCAAATCCACAGCACCCACACAGCTGCTTAAGCTAGACAACAGGTGGTCATCCCTCCTGTCTCCCTTGCCCTCACCCCTGGTTCACACCATTGTCAGATCCTTCCAAGCCAACCAGCACAATGATCTCAGGTGGTCTCCATCTTTGCATCGTCCCTGCCACCCCCCAGTTCAACCAGGCCCACTGTCTTTTACCTGATGGACAACAGAGTAAGCTCCTAATCAGCACCCTTGGTCTACAGCACTCTTGCCCTCTCCAGTCTCCACATTTTAAAAGCTCAACTCCGACTGTGGCTGTCCAGTGCTCCTAGTACAAAAGCCGTGAGCTCCAACTGTGGCTGCCCACAGCACCTAGTATAAAAGCCCTGAGTCTGACTCAGGTCCCGCAAACATGCTGTTCCCTACGCCCTGGGAAACATCGCTCGTGCTCTCAATCAGGATCCCCCCAGCCCTGCATTTCTTCAAGCCCTCGTTATCATTTGGGATGACTCGCTGATGTGTGCCACATATGAGCTAATGAACTTCTTGCCAGTAGAGTGCAAAACTCCGGGAGGGCGGAGACGGTATCTGTTTTGTGAGGACAAACACAACTTTATTCATCCCTGTGTCCCCCAGAGACCTGGGATAGTAAGGACAGTCAGCCAAAATTAAAGTGAATCCAAACCTAATCCCGCTTTGTAAAGTTCAACCCCCCAGGGCCAATCCTGAACTGTGTGCAACGATGGATCTGATGAAATGGAATGTGATCATTAACTAGGCCTCAGGTCCTTTGCACTAGCAGCTCCTTTGCTTGGACCTGTCCTCTCCTGACTCTTTGGATGTCTGGCTGCTTCACTTTCAGGTCTCAGCCCACAGGTCACCTTCTCAGAGAGGCTCTTCCCAACACATCACCCCATGGCTTGCACAGCACTGAGCACAAACAGGAAGTTATTTGGTTATTTACTTTTTAATTCTTCTACCTCCCCAGAATCCGTGAGGGCAGGGTCTGTGTGTGGCTTGTTCACAATGTACCACTAATGCCTGGAACTGCACCTGACATGTACAAGACATCCATCCAATCAAGTTACTCAACAGACAAGCAAATGAATGGCTGAGTGCATGCAAACATGACAGCTGCAGGACCTGGATGGCTGCTAACCACCAACGGTCACCAAGGCCCCTAAAATATAACAATATACTTACTTGTCCAACCTTTGAAAGTTTAAGTTCTCTTAACGTATAGTCGTGAGCAGCACTTTCTTTGACGTTTCTAACACGCATCACCCCATATTCTTTGAGAGCATACTCATCAGGCCAGTATTTGACACATTTACTCTGGAAAGGATCAGAGAGAAAACAATTACCCTCTGTGGGCTCTGAAATGAAGGCCTAAAGTATAGAATATCACTCAGCCACAAAATAGGTACAAAAGTCCTGATGCGTGCTGTAACATGGATGAACGGCAAAAACGTGATGCTCAGTGAAAGCTCTGGTGGTGCAGGGCCTAAGGCACTTGACTGCTAATCAGAAGGCTAGCAGTTCAAACCCACCAGCCACTCCTCAGAAGGGAGGTTGGGCAATCTACTTCCGTAGTGATACCATCTCGGAAACTCAAGGAGAGGTCGCTATGAGTTGGGTCTCTGGCATATAACAACAACAATGAAAGAGGCCAGACAGAGGCCACATGTTGTATGATTCCATTTATACGAAATGTCTAAAGCAGACAAATCCATAGCCTTGGAAGGCAGACTGGTGGTTGCTGGGAGCTGGCAGAGAGGAGAAGGATCCAAAGATGCTTATTGGGTGGAAATACTTTGGAACCAGACAGAGGTGCAGGGTGTATGACATGGGAATATACTACATGCCACTGAATGGTTAGCTTTAAAATGGTTCATTGTGTGCTTTGTGAACATCATCCTAATAAATATATATTAAAAAAAAAAAAACCTGAACTAGCAGAAAACGAAGGTCACATCTTGCTTAATGACCACTAGCATGGACAACCATCTACCTAGCATCTAACTGTTGGATTTTCAAAGGGGACAAAAAAGAAAGAAGAGCTCAAAAACAAGTGCAGCAGATGCCGGGAGCAGCAGTGGGAGGGGAGCAGCAGCTTGGGCAGAGTGCCCCCAGCAAGACCATGCTCCAAGGAGACCCCAGGCTGCCTTCTTTCTTTGTAAAGAACCAAAGATTCTGAGAGGAACCAGCCAGCGTGAGGGTGGACCCAGCAACCACCAAGTTCTCAGTCCCAGAGCTCGGTGTGCCACTCTGTAGAAGGCAAACACGGACCCTGGAGGTGGCCAAGACGCCCACAAGCCAGACAGCGGGTTCACTGCCACGCCAGCGTGGGAGGACCCGGTGCCTCATCTGCCCAAGTGTGGACGACTCTCAAAGAAAGCACCATCTGGGGTTCTGAACCAGCTGCTTTTTCTATATCCAGATCCTCTGATACCAACTGCACACGTCACCTTCCCTTAACTGGGTGCCACGAAACGCCAAGTCTACAGAGGTGCCAGCTTCAAGAGCCAGCAGATGGAAAAATGTGTCACTAGGAAAACCTCTCTTGATGCCAACAAGGAAGCTTTCTCGTCACTGAGAGCTGGGTCTGCATATAGTCTGCAGTGCGGCCTGGCCAGAGACTGCTTCCCCCTCCACACCTCCGGGAGCAGTACTACGACACTTTCCACAACCATGAGAGAGAAATGCCACCGACAGGAGCTTACCCAGTGTGTTAGGGAGACAGAGAGACTGGCAGATATTACATGGGAAACGAGAGAGGACAGCTGCAGGTACCATCACAGCTCAGGGATTAACGGGAAGGAGGAAACGGATCGCTGGGAAGGTCAATGGCCAGGTCGTGGGTGGTGCCATTTTCTGTCTGGGATGCTGATGTGGTCCTTCACTTATTCTCACTCTGAATGCACCTCCCTCTCTAGTACTTTATAGAATCAAATGCCTTTCTGACAGATTTGACAGAACTGTTATTTTCCCCAAATCAACACTTTAATATCCGTTAACTCAGTGGTATTCCTGGTCAACCAACTCTGAGCACTGCTCCCAGTCCCTCCAGAGAACTCAGTGGAGGACAGAAAGTGAAATCAGACCCTGAAAAGAACATTCTAGCTGGCTTCAGGCACGTGCGAACTGCTGGAGCCCACCTCTCAGCCTCCCAAATTCTAACTAACATTTGAGCTTTCACATCATAGCCCAGGACGCAAAGGGAGTACACAGACGTGTGTTTCTTCATGTGCTGAGAGACATCGAGAGTAACCTGTCAGAAAGCCTGCAGATGGGACAGAAGCCCACTGTCTCATCCCCCAGAAGTGAAGGCAGAGGGTGGCATAGCAGGCAGAGATGAAGCGGTGAGGGGTGGTGCAGGGTGGCTTGGCCCAATGTCTGTCTGTTCCAGGTGCCTCCGGCAGCTTCTCTGAAAGAGATTTCTATGAGATGACATGAGAACCCTCTCTTCACAGCATCAAATTCTCTGAGAACCAGTGGCCACCTGCAAACTGTCAGCCACTGACCAGGACAGGGGGTTCGGTTTTCCTTTCTATGCTTAGGGAAGGCAACAGACACCATGAGAACATTTTAACATGCCCATCAACTCCAGAACTCCTAGTGCCACTGCAGACAGCTGCTGGGGGAAGACTTGTTTCACAAAGACTAGATCTGGCCTGAAAAGCACTCCGCAAAAAACTGGAAACAGACAGATAGGGGTGATGGTTGCATAACGTGTTGAATGTAATTAATGTCGTGACTTGTACATGTAAAAAGGATTGAAACGTCAAGTATTTTGTTATGCTTTTACCACACACACAAAAATAAGATTCCGAAGTGTACCAGCCAGGAGTACAACAAGAGTCTTATAAAAATCACAATGCCCCTTCCCAATTGATATGAAAATAACATTTGTTGTTGTTGTTGTTGTTGTTGTTATGTGCCGTCAAGTTCGACCCGATTCATAGCGACCCCTCCTTGGGTTTCCGAGGCAGTATCACTATAGAAGTAGATTGCCTCATCTTCCTCCCAAGGAGTGGCTGGTGGGTTTGAACCGCCAGCCTCCTGGTTAGCAGTCAAGTGCCTTAAGCACTATGCTACCATTAGGAGGGCTAAAATCCAAAACCTGATCTATCTCAGCTTTAGGGATGACTGCTACATTCCATGTGATTCTTACAAACACCAATTAAAGCTTATCTTAAGAAAAACTTTGAGTGAAGAAAACCAAAGATGCAGAAAACAAGCAAGTCCATAGGACTAATGGAGCAAGTAAACCCCAGCCTCCATGGCCCTGAGACCAGAAGAAGGTAGATGGGGCCCAGCTACCACTGCTGACCGCTCTGTTAGAGATCACAGTAAGATGTCCTGGATAGACCGGGGGAAATGTGGAACAAAACTCAAAATCATAAAAAAGGCCAGGCTTACTGGCTTGATCAAGACTGGTGGAACCCCCAAGACTATGGCCCTTAGACATCCTTCAACTAGGAACTGAACTTAAGCCCTGTAACTCAACTGGCAGCCAAACGATAGACAGGCCTGTAAGGCCAACGATAGTACCAGGAGGGTGTGGACATATTAGAACAACCAAGCAAATGAGATCCAGAAGACAGTATTTGCCCAAGGATAGAGCTAGGAAGGTGGGAGGGGAGGGGAAGGAAGGACTAGGGGAAGGGGTGGGTCCAGGGAAGAAGTGGGAAGAAAGCTGTCACAGTGTGAGGACTGCAGTAAATGTCACAAAAGGGAAGGTGTATGGACTGCTGAATGGAAAACCAATTTGCTCTGTAAATGCTCACCCAAATCACAACTTACCAAGCATGCAAAGCTGGAAAATAAGAGCCCATAATGAACAGACTCAGAAATGACATGGGTAACAGAATCAGTAGACAAAGACATCAAAAATACACTGCACATGATGAAAAGGGATAGGGAAACATGCACATGTTAAGGAGACATTTAAAATAGAAGAGAGACCTAAATGAAACTCTTCAGGATGAAAAATACAGTATCTACAGTGAAAAACGCACTGGAGGTGAATAATAACAGATTACACATCACAGAAAAAATATTAAGCTAAAGACACAGCAAAAAAAAATAAATAAATACCCAAAATAAAACGAAGAAGAAAAGTAAGACTAAAAAAATGAACAAGAGGC